GGTGGCTATTTACCACCAGAGAAAGAATCGTGCTGCTGACGTGCATGGGGGTAGCGGGAACGTGGGGGAAGGCAGATGAGGGAGGCCGAGGTCCAGCCCCGTATCTGCCTCTCCCTGGCCCTGGCTCCCCCGGGCCCCACCGCCACCACCCCCGCCCACCAGCCTCAGTTTCCCAGCCATAAGTGGGATAATATCACATACTCCACGTGTTAGGGAGAGGATGTGCTTGTTTGTTTCAGTCATGTTTATTTTGCTCGTTGTTAAAGCACCTAAACCTACATCCTCACCATGAGGCCTGGCGCTGGGACTTCCCGCCTCGGCTGACCCCCTCCACCTGCCCGTCGGCGCTGCTCGGCCGTCTGTGGCTTCAGAAACAAGGGTCCCCGTGACCCACAGCACCCGGGCCCACCCAGGCCAGCTGCAGCCTCAGACTCTGGGCGAGGCCCGGGAGCCCACGTTCCCAACCAGCCCGCTGGGATTCTGCCGACCTTGGGGCCTGGGAGTCCTGCCCTGCTTAGGGGAAGACAGAGGCCCGCACGGGCTCCCAGCATTCCCGAGGATTTGGGGGGAACTCTTAGCCTCGGGCATGTAGGCGGAGCTTCGCTAAAACGCAGGGCCCAGTGATGGGCTCGGATTCCTCTGGGAACCAGAGAGCATGCTCTTGTCCGGCTGCCACGTCCCCAGAGCGGGGCCATCTGACCGGCGTGATGGGGCCGGGGCGCACTCCCTCCCGATGGCGGTGTGACACACGCGGGAGTGGGACCCATGTGCTAACCCGGCAGAGATCTGAAGCAGCCAGACACCCAGCACCTTCCAGCTGCAAAGGACACACGCAAACAGCCCCCAGGCCCACCCCCACCCCCAGGGCTGAGGGCAGGGCCCAGGGACACAGGAGGGAGTTCCCACCCTGATTTCACTCGGAATTCGGGGCCCTGATTGGAAAGAGGTCCTACGTGGCGCATCACAGTGGATTCATATTTTAAGAGCTGCTATTTTCAGGGCCCGATCTCTGTATTTCGTCCACAGGGCACGTTGCCAAGTTCCCGACTGTCAGCACTGGAAGGGCCCTCAAATCTGTCTGAAACGGACCAGCCCTGGGCCTCACACCCTCTCTGAGCTTCCATTTCCTCATCTGTAAAGGTGGGAAGGGGTGGGGGGTAAAGAGTGGAGGGTAGAGGGTAGAGGTGGAAGGGTGAGGGGGGTAGAAGTGGAGGGGTGGGGAGTGGAGGGTGGAGGGTGGAATTGGTGGTGTCCCCAGCCCCAACTCC